GAAAGTTAGTCCCAGGTACTGCAAACATGACGCGAAGGCCCCCAAAACCCTACCTGAAGCCCTGAACTGTCCTTGTTGACAGTGTGAACTGAAACATCTCACCGATGCAGAAGGCGGCACAAATACTTCCTACCACGGACAAGAAAATGCACACCTGAGCGCGTGAGTGTCCCTATTCTTGATGACTTGGGGTGTACAGGGGCGTGCTGCGTGGTCCCCGGACCAGGGTTTTCGGTGTGGGATGCTTGTGGGTTTTAAGGGGTGAAACTCGATGTTTAAGGCTGCAAGGTTGCGTCTCAACACCGGGTGCCAGTAGAGTCTGCTGTAGGATGTGGCAGGAACTGATAGGATCTTGCAACAAGGTTGTGATAGGGGCATTGGATGTACAGGTTTCAGCAGGACATACAACATAACCCCTTGGCGCTCAGCCCTACTGAAAGCGAGAAACATATTGACCAAGAGCTCGCACGAAACAAACCAATCTGCTGAGACCGCGGCGCACAATGCTGGCAACCAAACCACTCCGGGTTTGGGTTCAGTGTTGAGAGGGGTCGGGACTTACGGTCCAGGATGTACGGATTACGTAAGCCTTGTGGCCAACACCAAGACCTCAAATCCTGCGGAACCCAAGTCGCTTACTTTTTGATCTCGCAGCTCGCAACCTAAACCCGACTCCCAAGCTCCCCCACAACCCGCCTCAGCCCGAAAGGCATCACGCCACGAGGAGCCTTGGTTTCCCGTTTGGGGCTTAGGCTTAGAACTTAAGGCTTCGGAACTTCATGGTTTAGGTTTGACGTCTCGACTTTGTTCTACTACGGTGTGTTGCACTGCTCGAAGGTATAGCTTTGGCACGTAGATCGCCTGATTGAAGATCCAAGGCGTCAGGCCCGTCAGGCAGTGACGCACCGGCATGCTGCACGAAAGCAGTGCTGGTGTTGACCTGATGCAGGGGGACGTGAATGCGTGGTAGTAAAAAGAAGTCGAATTTTAACCGCCATGCCATACTACTGGGCAGCTAGGAATATTATTCGTCATGGCAAGGATACAGCTGGGCGGTGTGTTGGGGAGGGGTGCAGCGTTTCCCACGCGCGTAGCACAAACACAACGCAGCATGCAGGCCCAATAGCTACAAACTCCAGTAAGGGAGTGCAGCATCCCAAACGGTTTCGAGCTAAGGATCTCGCTCTGGGCTTGTCGACAGAATAGAGAAAACGAACATGACAGCAACTGCGATCAGCATACTCATCCAGATCCGTTCTTAGCGGCCCCAAATGCTTATACCATTGCTGCTGCTGCTGCTGCTGCTGCAACAGCAACAACAAAACGCATGTAGACTTAGACCTATGCCAAGACCCAAGCTCCTATTCCCCATGAAACCTTTCCCTCCGCCGACCTTTGCGGCTCCTGAGAGGTTCACCGTGAGCTGCAGCAGGCAAGTGTCGTCACCTTCTTGGTATTCAGTATTCAGGTCTTGGTCACGTTGTTGTGGTACTGTCAGTAAGTCTAGATAACTGCTCAGAGTCCCGAACTGCCATTAGTTACAGTCTTGCACTGAAAGGTCAAAGAGGATGATCTAACAACTTCCCAAGGTGCCAAGCCCCAGGTGCACCAGTGATGCAGACAGCGCAAGTACTGTGCGAAGCTGCATCGCCATCGCATGATACAGCTGGAGCTTCCGTAAATTATTGTTCCCAGCCTTGGGACTGCGGAAGCCAATGCCAAGATTGATCTTTTAACAGGCCTCCAGGTACAATGCCCCTTCTGCATAGCTTAAGCATGGTAGAATGGGCGGTGCGTAACAACTGTCGGAAGCTTACGGATGGAGGCTGTACGGTAACGCTATCAGCGGCTGAGCCAAAGGCATACACGGAGGAGACCCTCATCCTCAGCCCCCGAGAGCCCGCAACAAAGCAAACTTGTGTGTACTATATTGAGCGACAGCTCATCGTTGCCGAACACTGTTAACGAAGTCACACGTACAGTAGTAGTAGTAGTAGTAGTAGTAGTAGTAGTAGTAGTAGTAGTAGTAGTAGTAGTAGTAGTAGTAGCAGTAGTAGCAGTAGCAGTAGTAGCAGTAGCAGTAGTAGTAGTAGTACTAATAGTAGTAGTAGTAGTAGTAGTAGTAGTAGTAGTAGTAGTAGGAGTAGTAGTAGTCGTAGTAGTAGTAGTAGTAGTAGGAGGAGTAGTGGAAGTAGTAGTAGCAGTAGCAGTAGTAGTAGTAGTAGTACTAATAGTAGTAGTAGTAGTAGTAGTAGTAGTAGTAGTAGTAGTAGGAGTAGTAGTAGTCGTAGTAGTAGTAGTAGGAGGAGTAGTGGAAGTAGTAGTAGTAGAAGAAGTAGTAGTAGTAGTAGTAGTAGTGGTGGTGGTAGTAGTAGTAGCAGTGGTAGTAGTAGTAGTAGTAGTAGCAGTAGTAGTAGTAGTAGTAGTAGTAGTCGTAGTAGTAGTAGTAGTAGTAGTAGTAGTAGTAGTAGTAGTAGTAGTAGTGGCAGCAGTAGCAGAAGCGGTAGTGGTAGTGCTAGTGGTAGTGCTAGTGGCTGCTAGTGGTAGTAGTAGTCGTGGTAATCGCAACAGTAGTAGTAAGAGTGGTAGGAGCAGTAGGAGTCGCAGGCTCAAGAGAAGCAGATGTCCTTTTGAAACGCTGTCTGCGTCGTGTTGTGGGCAAAGCGGGAGCAGATGAAAAGTTGGGCGTCAAGAGGCGCCTCATTGCACATCATCACCCGCAGCTTGTGCAAAACAGCCTCCGGTAGCTGGAGGCCAAGAACAAGTTTGAAGGCTTCCCCCAGAGTTCGGAGGTTTATACCTAGCATACGGTGTACAACATAGCCTATTAAGTAAAAGTAAGCATGTTGTATAACAAACTCAAAAGATCGGGTAGTGCAGCTGACAGATTGACAAGTCCTAGTTCGGGAGGGAAACGCAGAGACTCAAATGTTACTTTACACGAGGAAGCTGTAAGCTTTCGACGGTTGCATGCATTAAGACATTGAACACTAGGGTCGAACGCAGTGTACCCAAATCCAAGTCTTTAAGTATATCATCAGTGTAATCCAGTAGATTATGGCGCAGTATGCTATCGTATTCTACGTCCTGGGTCTTCTCAGAGGACCCTCGGGAGCCCAATGCCCCCTCTGCTAGGGGGTTGAAATTTTAACGACGTTTTTGGGCTTAGGTTTTGGGTGGTTTAGGGTTAGTGAGTAGAAGTGGAAGTTTCTTGAATCCCACGAGTCTCCCCTACTGTGGTTTTGGGTATAGTCCTTACTTCAGGGCTGTTGAGCTATCTGCGTAGGCAGGGGGGAAACCAAAGTTCGTGCCTCATGTACGCAAGCCAGGTTGCAATAATAATATACGATTTGAAATAGACTTGATAGTACACTAGAGTATGAAGAGTTCTGCACGGTAGCGAATCCGACAGCACCTGTCCTTCTTGGCAAGACGAGCGAGAGACCCCGAACTTGTGCAAGTTCTCTCTGAAGATGCGCACAGCTTCCTGCAGGGAAATCCAAACCGACTACAATACGAACAAACCACAATTCCAAACATGGCGAAAAACTGCACAGTCTAGTAGGGTTCAGTTTAAAGTGCAGACGCTGAGAGTGTAGTATAGCCTAACGTGTAGAGCACCGTAGATTTTATCGCATGCCCTTTGTAGCATAGCATGCACAGTAAGCCAGTCAGCCATGACATTGCTTTTCACACCCTCGGTCTTCATAGACCATGCCGTCCAGCTCGTCGTGAAAGCCCTGCAACGGCGCTGTGTCGTAGTCGCCAGCGGAGCTTGGCGAGTTTCGCTGCAGTGGATTTAGGGTATCTCATGGACAGTGGGACGAATCATCACATTCCATCTTGGATTAGCCATCAACATCTCGTTAAGCTGTCTCAAAAGCCGCCAGGGGTTTGTTTCAGGCTTAATGCCGTAACACATGCAAGAACCATTGGTATAAGTAGCACCTGCATATGTCGAGTAAGCTGCAGACTATAGAGTTCTATATACATATACATATATATATATATATAAACATCGACTTATCACACATGCCTCTTCATTCTACAAGTACTGGACGTTTACTGTACCTTTAATCGGTATATGGGCTGCACAAGGCTTGAGGCTTCAGGTAGCCCAGCGCGCTCAAGGGTTTGGTGGAGCTTTAAGCGGTTTCGGGGTTTAGGGTTCATTGCTGCCCAGCGTCCGATTTTCAAAGGTGGGACGGGTGTTCTCAAAGTCCTGCTTCCGGCACTGTCCACCGAACATGGCGTGGAACAGGCACACGGACAAGTCCTCAAAGGGAACCCCCCGACCCGACTCTGTGCTTCGGGCTTGCCCTGTACAGCCCCTGATTACGACTAGCCTTGCTTGGGGCTGCGAGCGTCCTAAATCCTGCTAGACCGTAGTTCAATTAAATCTAAGAACCACACAGCCTGAACTCCTAAATCTCACGACACTGTTTTACAGACTTGAATTTTGGCTGCCGCAGCGGTCCCACTCTTCTGTGAGGCCCACGAAGGCAAAGCCATCTGTCACGCGTCTTCGGGCCTCCTCCGCCATGCTCAGCGTCCTCTTCGAGGAGCTGAGCCCAAGGCCCTGAAACCCTTCACATTGAAGCCCTTCCATCAAGCCTTCCAGGCTTTTGGCTTTTGGGGAATAGGAATTACGGTTTCGGGTTGAGAGTATCTGTTGTTGAATCTGAAGCTTCGGGACCTGGCTTTTTCGCGATCCGTTTTATGGTTGTACTCTGGGGCGGAAGCTGCATGATGTAGAAGACACGCAGGTGCTGCACACCGTGTGTAATACCGTGTACAATACATTTCAATACATGCTACATACTGCTTACGGGGTTGCTTCGAAGGCCATCACCCCTCAACCCGAAGCGCAAAAGCCCAAAACCCTTGGCATGGGCCTCGGCGGGAGGGCTCGCAAATCTGGGAGCATGAAGCCTTCGTTGCGTTATGCATAGACAGGGTCCCGATACAAGGGTGCGGGCACAACAGCTTCGCTTATTAAAAGAACCAGCCATTTTGCCAGCCGTAGGTTTTCCAACACCGAGACACCCAGTTCAGGACCGTCTCCTTCATCGACGAGTTGGTAGGTCATGGTGCCTTCACGTGTTCTTCGAGGCTCTCGGCGTTTTGTTGCAACTTGAACCCATTTGTAAGGACTTAAAAGCAGATACTAGTTTGGAAAACACGGGGAGCATTCTAGAACTCGCAACGCCGCGCAACCTTAGATCCGCCTAGGGCTGGCTGTACTTGCATGGAATGTGCGATTTGACTGCCGGATGCATGGAGCGTCTTTGCCAGCAAGCATTGCCGTTGGCCGGAAAGACGCTCAGATTTAGGTCCACATGAAGGGCATGTGAACCATGAACACCCACATCAGAGCACCTCTGAGTCGAAAACGTCTCAACCCATACCTTTGAAGATCTATCACAATCTTTGAAGCCACGCCGCCCCTGAAGAGCTCAACAAACTCCGGCAGCAGGGGCTCCGGTGCATCCGATCCCTCACCCAGCCACGTGTGGTCTGGGTCGTAGTACCTGGTATGTGATTATGTGATGGCTCGTATCCAGCAATTTAAAACCGGTCGCAGTAAACGGTAGAACTTTAGAGTCTATTGGAGAGTTGGCTGTGGTTTCCCCGTTCCTCAACCGGGAACGGCAAGGTTTGAAGCTCTAGGTCAAAGTGGTCTTGGAGATGCTAAGCCGGTGGTGCGACCTTCAAGAGGGGGAGCCTGGGGCCCAGGGCAAACAGAATAAATCTGCTCTATTCGTCTAACCCAGCAAGTGTCTCCAGCGGGAGGAGGGGCGGGGTCAACCCTACACCACTCCCCCAACGACCTAAGGTCTTCGCACAGCCCAGGGACTTGTGCCCTCCAACCTCCAACCGCCAGCAAGGCACGCGGAGAGGAGACGCTGCTCGGGTCGACGGAACAGCCCGACCATGCGTCCCTTAAAATTCTTGTACCTGGCGGCTGGCGGTTCTCAAAGCTTTGCAGAAGAGGTGCCAAGGAGAGCTAATGCAGCTATTGGCTGATGCTTGCTGGAGGCCCTTCCCGAGGTGTCATGTTTATGTTTGTATTCGCTGTACGCAAGGCTGGCAATGCAGAGGGAGACCGGCAAGACTCCAACGAAGACCATAGAGTCCTAGAGCCATGACTTTTCTGTAAGCTATTTCTTGCAACCTCTCTCCACAATTTAGGTTTAAAGAGAAACACACACACACACACACTAATTGTTGTATCCGTACTCTGCTCTGCCCCCTGCCTGTTGCCGATGCACTCGTGAGGGCTCAGCGGGCAGCGAAGCAGGCCCGGGTCACAAACTTCTGGACAGACCTGTCTCTTACAAAGAAGGCAAACCTCCGTCCCAGACTGGCATACAGCACAAACAAAAAAATCGATATAGTACACAGTACTACACATCGAAATCGATACATAGTACTTCAGATAGTACTCTCTATATCACCCCCCCGCTCCCACCCATGATCCAGCCCAGCCTTCTTGTCAACTGTTCGTCTACAGTACTACTATGTCTCCAATGCTTTCATCGAAGTCCATAAACCATCGGTATTTGCGAGGGTTTCTCCACTTCACATATGCTGACCTCTGCTTATTGTGCTCTTTTCTGGTATATGTAAACCACCCAAAACCCAAACCAGAAT